CATCACCATCGCCATGACCATGAAAATCATTATGATGAGCATCATCATCATCGTCATGACCATCATCATCATCATTCTCACTCACTCACTCACTCACTCACTCACTCACTCACTCACTCACTCACTCACTCTCTCGCATAAGGGACGATCCCACGCGGTTCAATGCAGAAAAAGGGCCGAAAAGCGGCAGATCTGCGACTGCGGCGGCCGAAACGGCAGACTATGCAAGCCGGTGAGACAAAAAGTGAAACCGACGTGAGAGAAAACCGGAAGCAGAGCGAGGCACCGGCGGCACCAAAGTGCACTGAAACAACTTAGCAAGGGACATGTCCTCACTGCACTATGCGAGCGAGCCGCTACGCAAGCGACCAAGGAGCAAAGCGCAGACACACTGCAAAGCAGTAGCACAAACTACGCATGCTCGACTGCCTCAGCAAAACAGAAGGAAGGACCTACCGCGAGCCGAAAGGCAAGACTAGAGGCTGAAACAGCCAACAAGCCAGGGGCAAAACTAAAGAGCTGACCGTAGGCACAGGCAGCTGGAAAGTCACGTAGAGCTGCAAGACCAGAGTCCAGAAGTGTACTGCACCGGGAAGTAACCGAAAAACTGTAGGTAAGAATCGCTCCAGTCAACACGTCCACCGGCAGCGGCTGCTCAGAGCAGCTGCAAGGTACTTGAGGCCGCCCTCAGGGTCCCGCGTACAGGCCGCAGTGCCCAGAAGTCGCGACCACACCAGCACGGGGCACGGGCGTGGCAATGGCACGAGTGCGGTACCAGCTGGAGTCTGGTATAGCAGTATCTGCAAGAATGGCGAGAGCCGAACAAGCAGAAAACTACCTCCTGCCGACACACCTTCACCCCTAAACCCTAAATCCCAAACCCTAAAACCCTAAACCCTAATCCCTAAAACACTAAATCCCAAACCCCTAAACCTTAATCCCTTAACCCCTAAACCCTTAATCCCCAAACCCTAAATCCCGAAATCCTGAAACCCTAAGCCCCTATATACCCTAAGTCCCTAAACCCTAAACCCCAAACCCTAAGCCCCTTTTGGGCCCTATAGCCTAACCCTAACCCTAAACCCTAAACCCTAAACCCTAAACCCTAAACCCTAAACCCTAAACCCTAAACCCTAAACCCTAAACAGCTTTGACAGGCCGAGCCTCCGGCTCCCTCAGATCCTCCAACTCCACCGACTCCTCCTCCTGCTCCGAAGGCCAAGGCAGAGGAAGGGGTTTTTGGGTGTCTTGGGTTTTTGGGGTTTTTAGGGGTTTTTGGGGTGTCTGGGGTTGTTGGGTTTTGAGGGTTTTTGGGGTTTTAGGGTTTAATTAGGGTTTAGGGTCTTTAGGGCTTCGGGTTTAGGGTTTTAGGGTTTTAGGGTTTTAGGGTTTGGGATTTAGGGTTTTAGGACTTCAGGTTTAGAGGTTTCTGGGATCTGGGGCTGGGGGGTGTTTTCCAGATCTAAGCTGCGCTCCTACACTTCAGCGTTGAGTGTCTGGGTCGGAAGCATTCGAATCCAGTGGCGCGCTAGACTCATAAACACTTCATCGGACTGATCTGGAAGCGCTGCTTTCGGCGTTGGAAACGCCGAAACCCCAAAACCCCTGAAGCCTAAGCCGTAAAGCCTCCAAAAACCCTAAATTCCCTGAGCTCTAACCGTAAACCCTAAACCCCTCACTTCCCTGAGTTCTGAATTCGAAAAGTTCTTGGTGAGGCTCCCTCCAAGCCGGCTCCAGAGGAACCGCCTGAGGAGCCCGTGACGGAGGAGGTACCTGGAAGAAGAGCAGGGAGTTTTAGAATAGTTTTCGTCTAAAACTATTCCAAAACTAGGGTTTAGGGTTTAGGGTTTAGAGGTCAGTGTGTAGGGTTTAGGGTTTATGGTTTAGGGTTTAGGGTTTAGGGGTTTAGGGTTTAGGGTTTAGGGTTGAGGGGTTTAGGGTTTGGGGTGTAAGGTTTCGGGTCTAGGCTGATTTTCGGGATAGGGTCAAGTTTAGGATTTGATTTCGGGGTTAAGAGTTTAGGGATGGGTGCAGAGAAGCGAAAACAGGTTTAGAGGTGTAGAGGACAAACTACACCACATGTGCTCCTCCACAACTCAGTACTGCAACCATAGATAGATTTTTGTTTCTGGGCATTCAATTGTGTACACAGCTTTAATTGAGGTGCACATCCGCCCGCAGCGCCGAAAATGCACCGCGCACGGGCAATCTGAGAAATTATCAGGAGGGATAGATAGATAGGTCCCTAGCAAACCAGGCAGGGCAGGCAGGCAGGCAGGCAGAGGCAGGCAGAGGCA